ACCAATGGGAAATGGATTAACTAAAGGCTAAAATTCAGGTAATATCTAAGAAGAGGGCTCTTATGTGCTCAACTATAATCTTAAACGTGGTTGGTAGAAAGTGTTAAGAATCTATAAGTTGCGGGGCTGGAGAGATGGCTCAGAGGTTAAGAGCACTGCTTGTTCTTCCAAAGGTCCTGAGTTCAATTCCCAGCAACCACATGGTGGCTCACAACCATCTATAGTGAGATCTGGTGCCCTCTTCTGGCCTGCAGGGATATGTGCAGACAGAACACTGTATACATAATAAATAAATAAATCTTAAAGAAAAAAAAAAACTATTCCATGGCATGCTTAGTCTGTAGAATGAACTTTATGGAAGAAATCTTGTCTAGTTATATTATGGTAGAAATATGATATTACAAATTGTTGGAGGAAAATTGTATTAGTTTTCACTGCACTTAAACTAGATATTCTCTGGGAAATCATCCTGTAGTTATGCTGTGTAATTAGACACACAAGTGACTCTTCTAGGAACTCACTGACTGATGAAGCTATGTCATCCCTTATCTATGTTTTATTCAGTTTATGAAATAGGCTTGAATTTCATTGCTATTATTGCATCCTTGGTTAGATAGAAATGTTCACTCTTATATTGAATGATTTGTATTATGATTGGCATGGTTTTAGTAATTTTGATAAATTTATAAGTGTAGCCATCTAGATGTGGCATGTACCCTTAGGTTTCTATGCACAAGTTTGGTTTCTTGAATAAGTATTTTAGCATTAAGTCCATCTGTTACTTTTTGCTATGTATGCCAGCTACTACTAGATTACAGATTTGTAGTACTGTTGCTTTATTTTTGTGTAGGGTATGGGCTGGATCAGAGGGTCTTTCTTAGTGTCTACTGCACTTTAATCTACTTCAGATTTAGTCTTCCCTTTGTTCCTGTGACACAGATGAACTCAGGTCCCATCATTCTCAGTCTTCTTCAGCACATCACCCTACATATCTAATGTTGAAATATTAAAGACACTATTATTTCTTGTGCTGGTTCCAGGTAAGTCTTAAGCAGATACACAGACTTGACCACTTGCTAAGAATACAGTAATTTTAATAAAACATCCTGCACATGCTCCGATAATGATACTTTCTAAGAAGTGATGGATTCCTTTATACTATATGCAACAAAATTTATAGGGCACACTAGGAAAACAGGAAATTTTAGGGATGTTTTAGATTCTCAATGTCTCTTGATAAAAACTCAAATCTTCAGGTTGCTTTTCATCAGTAAGAAAGATTGTACTTTAAACTCACATCTCTTTTCTTTTCTTTCCACCTTTTAAAGTTATATAGGAGTGGAATTGTGTATTAGAAAGTGGGTGGTTATAGGGCATGGAAGTGATAGCAGTAAACTATGGAATCCATAGCTATGGGAAAGTGTGTTTCTGAGAACTCCAGTAAGATTAGGCTGTAGATAAAATTAATGTTAGACTGTAAGAAAATTATGATATCGAAGCTACAAAGACTTATTTTTTTGTCTACTCATTGGCCAATAGGGTACACAACTGTGTAGACAATTTCCATTTAGTATTTGTAAACGTTATGTCAGATGAAATTGTATGAGTTAAGTGATGAAACACATAAAATACATACGTAAAATTTAGAACCAGTAAACAATTGTATATTCTTTTCATGCTTTTATTTTGAGAGATGCAGACTTTGGCTTACATTTTTATTTAGTCACTAGGAAATTTATATGTATCTCAACCCACATAATTAATTAAATTCTGGAGCCTATACGATTAATACAGAAAATTTAGAAATCATAGATGTCAGAATGCAATTCCCACTGTAGTGTTGTTGCATTCTCTGTAGTGAACAGACACAGGCCATGGGTAGATTTTGTATATGATTTTATCATTTCATCATAATCCTGGTGAGATTTATCCATGAGAAACAATAAACATTAGTGAAAACCAAAAGATACAGCAACAGTTAGAGAGTCAAGAGTATAACCCACAAATTCATGAAAATGTGACCAGGAACAGATTTCTTTGAAACTATAACACAATCCTCAGATGTGTGATCATGACTTCAAAAACATAAGAGAATATGATGACCAGAAAAATAAAGTGGTACAGCTGTAAAAGCATCATTCAAAAATGAGGACAATAATGAAAAATTTAGAAGAGGTGTTAACACATATATTGTCATACAAATGTTGAAATATGTCCTTGTGTTATATAGTGAACAACAAGAAACTTGTCAATATGGTGATTATAAAAGGCCAGCCACATATGTCACATGTCATTACCATTTTAAAATCTCTCTGTCTCTCTCTCTCTCTGCTTTATATCACATCTTATAAATGGCGACTTATGACTTCATTTCCAGAAATAAGTATTTTGATAGTTATTTCTATTTGGGGTTGCAGCAATCCCATAACTGTTTATCATAATTAATTAGGTCACTAAGAAAATGTACATTTTTGTACACAATAAATGATGACAAGCAATATATGTGAATATTTTCCTGGGTATCACTCTCTTGGATACAAATGTACAAAAAACATTATGTATGTTAAAATACTAAATCTCAAGGAAAGCACCAAGAAGATATAAAATATGCAGTGCCAAGTAAATCTAGCGGTCAAATGCAGTAGGTATAAAGTTAGAACTGTTATTCTTCATAGGAAATGCAAGCTACATGATCTCAATGTTGTCATAATTTAAAAGTTTGAGGACTCTTATATTTTTGGTTGTGAGCCTAGCCTTTAACAGCTGAGCCATCTCTCCAGCCGGGCGGTGGTGGCTCACTCCTTTAATCCCAGCACTCGGGAGGCAGAGGCGGGTGGATCTCTGTGAGTTCAAAGCCAGCCTGGTCTCCAAAGCGAGTTCCAGGAAAGGCACAAAGCTACACAGAGAAACCCTGTCTTGAAAAAAAAAAAAAAGTTTGAGGACATTTTCTTTGTCCTATGATAGGGCGAAATTTTAAGTGTACTGAATTTAAGATTAGCTGTCAAAGATCCCTTCAAAAAATGGAGGTGGGGCAGTTAAGTAGGTACAAACAGGAAACAATCACACATTCTAGAAAGAACCAGAAAGTGTTGTAAATGCCTAAATGAAGTTAGATAAAGAGCATGCTTTTGCCTAGCTTCTTGCTTGTTTTATAAACTTTTTAAAAAACATATCTAGGTTGATGTTTCCTATAGTGCTAATGCACAGACATTTATGTTAACTTGAATATTTAAATTAACTTCATGGTAATCTTGGTAATTAGATTCAAATGATTATGTTAAATCAGATACTGAGGCTCTTGGGGATGGAGAGACGGCTCAGAGGTTAAGGTTGTTCCTCCACCAAACAGGCTTGTATATGATTCCTAGTACCAACATGGTGGCTCACACCTATCCATAACTCCCATTTCAGAAGATCTGATGCCCTCTCCTGGACTGTGTGTGCACTGGGCGTGTAAATAGTACACAGATATACATGCAAGCAAATTACCCGTAATCAAACAAACAAAAACTAATAAAGGTGATGAGGCTCCATTTTGAAATAAAGACAATGAGATCCCATTTTGGAATACTTACATTTCATCTTGAAAGTGTTTGTGAAATTTTCAGAAAAATCTAGTTGGGATCTTTAAGTAGAAATGACATTTGGATATGTTACTTCTTAGCAAAACAACACAATCATTTGATCCTAGAAAAGGATCTTCAAAATGATACATGGCAAGTAAAGTCAAAAGTATAATGTTCTATTTTGATGCTACTTAGCAACAAAAGAACTAAGTTCAAATTCTTTGAAAACTAAACAGTTTAAGGAACCTGTCTCTTATCTTCTTGGTTCTTACACCATAAATAATGGGGTCCATCATGGGGGGCACAAGAAGATACATATTGGCAACAAGTATGTGTACATGTGGAGCCACTTTATGCCCAAATCTGTGGGTGAGGAAGGAGAAGAAAGCAGGGGTATAGAACACTAAGATGACACAAACATGTGAGCCACAGGTGCCCAGAGTCTTGAGTCTGGCATCCTTGGAAGGAAGGTGGAAGACTGTGTTGAGTATAAGGACATAGGAACAAATTATCAATATGAAGTCCACCCCACCAGTGAGAAAGGCAACAATGAGGCTGTAAGCTCTGCGGATGCGTGTCTCAGCACAGGCAATCTTGATGAGGGCCATGAACTCACAGTATGTATGGGAGATTACATTAGTCTTACAATAGGGAAGCCAGCGTAGCAAAAAAGGGTGAAGACTGAGAAAGGCTGCTCCCCGAAGTACAATAGCCAGGCCCATTGCCCCAGTTATATTGTGTGTCAAAACAGCTGAGTGTCTTAATGGGTTACAAATGGCTATATAACGGTCAAAAGCCATCCCTACGAGGAAGCCAGATTCCATGGTTGAGCAAGAGTGAATCAGGAAGACCTGAGTGAGGCAAGCTTCAAAGGGAATCTCTCCATCATGAAACCAGAAGAGACTGAGAAGTTTGGGAACAGCTGTAGTGCACACCACGAGGTCAGCCACTGCCAACATGCAGAGGAAGAGGTACATTGGCTCATGGAGGCTGGCGTCTGTCTTGATGATGAACAGAAGAGAACAGTTTCCCACTAGTGCCAAAATGTAGCCCATGCAAAAGGGAATGGAGATCCACATGTGTGCCTCTTCCAACCCAGGAATGCCAATGAGAATGAAAGTTGAGGGATGGACATTAGTTTTATTGTATGTTAACATGATAAGTGTCAAATGTATGTGGATGTTACCTTTAAAGAAAAAAATATTAATCTGAGTTTGAGGCTAGTCTGTTTGTTCTACAGAGTGAGTCCCAGGACAGCCAGTGCTAAACAGAGAATCCCTGTCCCAAACAAACGAACAACAAAGAAAAGAAAAAGGAAGAAACAATATTAATTTATAAAATATTTAAAAGAAGGAAGTCAAGATGCAGGCAACTATATTTCACAGATCTACTGGAATTCTTGTAAATATGTATGTACAAATCATTTTATCAAATAGTAGAATCAACTAAAGTTATAATCAGTCCATCTTGAAACTGTATCACTTAAATTCATATTTAGAATTTACTAGCAGTGAAAGCTGCAAAAGTCAGATTACTTCTTTATTGAGATTCATTTAATTCTTGTGTCTTCCACGCAGTGAGCAAACTTAATGCCTTTTTTCTATTTGTTGACCTCTATATTTTCAATGATATATTATTTTTATTAATATTTTGCCTTTAAAAAAAGTGAAACCAAATGGAAATTAATGAATACGTAAGGGCCATGGATATGGAAGAATAAACATTAGTCAAAGAAGAATGCTATGTGAGAGATGAAAAGCGATGTTCCGCACAGAATTTATACTTTTTAGATGTTAATAAATACTTTAGTAAATTCAAGTTGACATAGGCTGTTAAAACACGGAAACCAATATTTAGAAAAATGTTTCAATATTATGAAATGATTGGAAGGGGATTTATTCACTTCTGCCTAATTATTATTAAAAGTGATGTCAAGACTAGGATGAGGACTGAGTTAGGAGATGATCAAGGCACAGCATTATTCTTGGCCCTTCACTGGCTGCAGAATTTATGTTCCTTTTTACCTTAGACAGCAATTATTGTTTGATTGTATTGGTAGTCTCAGCTCCCATGATTTCCTTTTATATATCAAATTATCCAGACAATATTCTCTCCTTTAAGTTGACTCTACAGGTATTCTATCCAAGTTGTTCTGATTTTTCCATTATCTGAACATTTCTCTTGAATCATTTGATACTATGATCAGCTCATATCGCCATTTGCTGATTACACTAGTTTTGTTTTAGACTATTAGAATACCATTTAGGTCACTTTATATAGTTACTTTTTTTCTTTTAAAAAAGGTAACTGAAAGTGTCTTAAATTTTTTGTACTTATTGTAATAGATATATATGTACCACAGAGTACTTTTATTATGACAATCAACCCTTAAGCCCTTACCCAAAAATGTTTGAACCAAAAAGTTCATAGAAGGTTGATTCTTAATAATGAATTAAAATTATAGTATTTTAGACTTTTATCTGATTTTGACAGTTCATGTTCAAAGAGTTTACTTAGCTAACTATTTTACTTACAGAGATCACAGAGATATATATTCTTTTGAGCTTGAAACAACTAGGCACATGCATCTGAAGAGCCTCAGAATATCTAGGACATGACATTTGTGAATCACAACAGAAGAAGAATCTAAAAACAACAAATTGTTTAAAAGTTATGTAATGATGTAATAGCTAACACTTGCAATTTTTTCCATAGATAGTAATGAGTCAGATTTTCCCCTGAGAGCAATTCATATACTATGACACATAAATTTCATTTGTGAGTATTGATTAAGTCAGTAGCATAGATGTAAACAGTTGGTAGATAACAAGTCCCAGACACCGATTTCAGAAACCTCATGCCAAAACCACTGATAAATTGCCCTAATTATGTGGCACTATAATGATGTTGCTAGCAACAGAAATGATGGATATCATTCTATGTACAGCATAAAGATACACCCTGCCACTGTTACTGGTGAATTATGATTGATATCCATATCTTAGAATGTCACAAAGAAGAGAATCTAACACTTAGACCTTCTTTCTTTTTCACTTTTATTTTTTCTTTTTATTTAAAAGGTTTTTTTTCCACTTTCCATTGGAACTTCTTTCTAATAAACCCTTTTCCCAATGCATTTACTCAGTCAGGAACATTTAATACAACTAACAGACATAGTGTAACTACACTCTCTCAATCGTAGCTTTGTTCTGCTCTGCAGTTAATTAAGTTCATGTGTGCACCTCCAAAACAATGTATTTTTACTTCGTTTCCTAAATTTATTAAATTTAAACCTTGTATATTTTATTCTATATTTTGGTGCTTTTAATATTCTTTTGTATTGAAAAAAATTTTGATCATTTTCTGATCAAGATTTCCTCTCCTCTAACTTCTCTGTTTTCTCACTTCCCCAACTCTACTCCCCACCCTTTCTTTCTCTCTTTTTCGAAAGAAAACAGGTAAATAAACAAGTAAACAAAAACAAACAAGCCAGAATTTAATAAAAGAAAAAGCAAAAGCACAAGAAACACATACACACACACACACACACACGGTATAATTAAAATTTCTCATTTGCTATTTATTCTTACCTTTATATAGTGTAAACATTTTTATCAGTAGAATGTAGGGGCATAGATTATGGAGGAAAATAAATCCACATTGTATTGATTGCAAATGTGCAATAACTATACTTAAAATGAGTTGCACCCCAACTTCAATCATTGAATTAAAATTGAAAATAATATAAATCATAGAATGTCAAGATTAATACTAAATATTGTTAATAAAAACATGGGATTTTCAGTCTGCCTCAACTGAATGTACCAGGCTCTGCTGGCTCCTCATGAGAAGCCTTACATTGTCGGAGGAGGGAATAGGGGTTGGGTTGTGGGGGAAGGCTGGGGGGAGGGAGGAGGGAAGTGAGGAGGATCTGTGGTTGCTATGTAAAATGAATATAAAAATTTCTTAATAAAGAAAAAATTAATGAATAAAAACATGGGATTTTATGGTAAATATGAGTTTAGGGTTAAAGTTCAATGCTTAAGAAAAATCGATACTACTTTCAAAAGAAAATAATATGTTAACCAATATTATTTTTATTATTAAAATATATATTATTATTAAAACAGTACTTTGGCAACCTAATGAATTGGAACTCTATCAGTTATATATGTACACATAAAAGTATAAGTAGTGAGTCATTACTATAATACTATCTATAATAAATGATGTTGAATTATTCAAAATATTCAACTATAAGGTAACTAGATATAATTATGATTTTAATACTATTTACTCAGCATAATTTAATAGTGCATACTTCTATAAACTAATATATATATCAAATAAAGTGAATATTAGTTTTACATTGTTACTGGAGTATACACACAAAACTTTAACATATTTCGATATATGTATATGATTCAAGCATGTTTATACTGAGCACTTTATAAACAAAGAAACATAATCTATACGGGTATGCATCCAACTTGGCACTCCAAAGTGGGATGGATGAAAGGCAATATAGACTAGGTATAATATATCTTTATTATTATGTTTGTCTTTTTAAATAGTAACAACATATTAGTTGCTCTCGATTTCCCTGTAGTGTTACAATAAGTAAACATTGAAAACTTATGTTGATATTCATCAGAAAGAAACCACAAAACAAGGTATTATGTATATAATGGAGTTTCCCTTGTATTTCAAAATGTTAAGAAGCTTAGCTACCATTTGAAATGTATTTCTTTCTTCCTCTTTGTATACATAATTGTCTAGTTTTCTATCTATGAAATCAATGATCATATGCCATTATTCTTGGTGGGATTACTCATACAAGAAACAGTTTAATAACTTGTGAACAGAGCCGAAGACTCTATTCACATATCACCTTTGCATTATTTTTTCTAGCTTTCTTGAGCTATCATTGACACTTGTTTCTGGTGTTCTTACGATATGGCCTTTACCTGCCTTCTACTTTTTGTTATATTGTGTTTTATATTTGGTTAATACTTTCTCACTTAATGTATTAGAGATTATTATTGGTGAAAATGATACTTTTCCTTTGCCATTTTATAATGAATCAATAGGGAAAAAAGAAAATGACATGTAGGAGATAACATAATTTCAATATAATTTTAAGATAAGCAGTAATTTAGA